AAAAAGAAAGAGGGGGGGGGGGGGGGGGGGGGTTCGCTGTCTCTCTCTCTCTCTCTGTCCAGTTGTTGACTTTCTCTCTCTAGTTCTTGGTTCTTGATTTTCCGGTGTACCGGAGAAGAGAAGACAAGACAAAGAACTTTAAAAAAAAGGAAAAGAAAAGACAAAGGAGATCATGGGGAGTAGTTTCTTGGGGAGACCGAACATGGGGGGAGGTTCTTCGTCGAGTAAGAAGGGGAAGAAGAACGGTTCTTCATCGGAGAAGCCGAAGCAGCCACAGAGAGGGCTCGGAGTTGCCCAGTTGGAGAAGATCAGATTACACGGCGAGATTAGTCCCGACAGCTTCAGTAGTTACCCTTCTTTTCACCACTCCCCTTACCCTTCCTCTTTCAACCAGGTATACACACACACACATACACATATATATATTTCTGTATGTATGTATGTATGTATGTATGTATGTATGTATGTATGTATATATGCACCCTCATACTAAATATAAACATATACGTATGTGTCTATGCGCTATGGAAGGTGATGGAGTCCGTGTGCTCTTTGACTGACACGTACGCTATAAACTCAAGCAGATTCAATCCAGTCAAAAGGATTCAATCCCCTCAAATGGGTTATCATTTTTGTTTTCATAAGTCTGCCAAGAAAAAAGATTCATAGTCTGACCCATCGGTGTTGTTGAATCGTTACACACCTTGCATAAGATATAGTTTCTATTTTGTATGTTCCATATCGGCATATATAATTTGCAGGCTTGAATTCCGAAATATATGATAATTTGCATATATATAGATCCGTTTTATGCGTCAATGTTCGAGATTGGTTATGAATTTAATTAGGACTCGAAATCGAAATAGAAAGTGGGCTTGAATGTGGAGATGTGGATGTTGATGCAGGAGGATGGGAGGACGATGAAAGGAGGATATTCATCACCATCATCGGCTCCTTATGGTTTCCATCCAAGCATGATGGTATGTGGCCTTTTCGTTTCTTTCCTTCCTCACTACAAATTAAGCACGTGATTTTGCTCCTATGCATATCTATGTGGATGTATAGTAAAATGCACTTGGTTTCCTAACATACGTTATTAATTAAAAACCTTTTATTTAAACATAAAGATTTTATATTAATTAGATGAATACAAAAACATGGGGGGTTTTCATCGGTCATTGTTTATATGCATCTCAAACATATTATGTGTTCTCTAATTTTTAATCATTCTATTCATTTGATCGATAGTCGTAAAATGGAATAATAACGAATAAATTTGATATGGAAAAAAGGAAATATATCCATTTATACTAATGCAACTGTTTTCTGTACGCTTCCATGTCGGCTCTCACAGATGGGTTTAAGTGAACACGAAAGAGCATCCATGAGGTACTCAGACTCTCAGCCTCATGCACCAGCAAGGTCGGTCCACAATCATTTAATCCAACTTTATATTCTATGTATTTTTATGCGTGTATTATGTATGTTAATGTGTATAATTTACATGTTGGCTGCAAAAACTAATGCCGTTTTTTTTGTTCAAACAGTTGGAACCCTAACTACGGCGATCTAGACAGCCAACACTTTGCTCAGCCAAACATCACTAGACACTTCCTACCTGAGGTTCCGCTCTATACACGCATATAGAAACACACACACACGTGTATATATATATATATTCCAATTAAGGGTTCATTTGATTTAAAAAAAATCACCCTTAAATTTCGAATTGTGGCCATATTGGTTAAGATTGAGGTTAAATCCATTTCTAAACGGTTTTCTTTTTCTTATATGATACTGCAGGATCCGAGCTCAATAACACGAAGAAGTAAATCGATGGGATCGAGCAGCCAAAATTCGGGATCGAGTGACAAACAAGAGCTAGATTTGGAGCTGAGATTGTCAATTTAACTGTAATTTGGTCTCTCATAAATCAGAAGCCATGGATTATTATACTTATGGCTGTTGTTATATATGCTTCAAGCAGATTTAGCAAACGACTGGTGTTTTGACTGGGGGGTTATCTGTGCACATTTAAAAGAAAGGGTAAAAAAGCAATATATTTGTAAAACATGGGGCAGAAATGTTAGATTTGGGAAATTGGGCTGATCGAAGTGAAGTTGTTGTCTCCTCGATATGTTCATCAACTTTAGTTATTAGAAGTAGAGCAAAACATATTTTAATCTTACATCTATTTCTTTATTATCTTGGTTCGTGTCCACGATAACGGTAGATTAAATGTAAAGCATTTTCTTCACATAAATCATATAAATCAAAATTCGTTTGTCAAATATAAATGAAATTGGTAGGCTTACATTTGGTTTAAACTTGATATTTTGAAATATAAGTTGAAATATGATAGAAAGAAAAAATTAATTAAAAAATTTTGGAATTGAAAAAACAGAAACTGAAAAAGACAGCTCATCAAAATTTTGGATTTTTATTATATTTGGTTTGATTATCTTTTTGTTTTTGTTTTGTATATTTTAAAAACTATATAATTCAGTATTGTGTAGACAAATTGAATTGTGAACACTAGTTAGGCCATTTCTCCTTCTGCCAAATATCACGGATGTAAATATTTGGAGATATATATATATATATATATTTGTGATTCTGCATCTTTTAATAAAAGAAACGGAACTGTAAAAAAGAACATGGTGATTAATTGATTGTGTTTTTGAATGTTTTAGCCAGTTTTGTCATTAAGCCAATGAATGCTACAATTACAACATAATCAGTAAAAATATCCCTAATAAGCTATTGCTGGCTTCGTTGATCTCTTCTGGTAAAGTCAAATGGTACGTACGGGTAATGGGCCACTCTAACAGCACCAAACTCTCTTTACAAATAAAACATATATACGCATGGTCTAATTATTACAAAAAATCAAATTTAAACTGTATCATTTATTTGTGTCCGTAATCATCATTTCTCGAGAAGAAAGCATGAGATTAGGGAGAATCTTTTAGTTTAAACTTTTGTTTGATCCTACTTGTCTCTCTCTCTATATATATATAAATATTCCATTGGTTAACTCCGACATCTGTTGCTGCCCAAAGTTATTTTCAGTTGTTCGTTTGATTTTATGGTTAATATTGATTTTTTTTTTGTTAATCGTAAATTCTATTAATAAAACTGTGTTTTACATAGAGAATATTTAATTTCTCTCTCAGAAGGCAAAGATACGAAAGTAGCTACGCATGAGTAAAAGTTGTGCTAATACAGTTAGATAATCTCAAAATGGCGAAACCAAATCGAAAACAGTGAGTCAGTATGGTGTGTGCATCTCCACGTGTTCCTGATAGAAGTTAATCGTCTCCTTATTTGTAGTAGAATCTCCTTTGCTAGAACTTGTCCAGGTTTGGATTCCGATCTGTGTAGCCGTGCATTCCTTTTCCGCCAGATGTTGTAAATCGCCCCATGGAATAACAGTAAAATCATAAGCTTCAAGCAACGATCAACCGAGAGTTGGTCCAACCAACATGTCCAGCCTGTGAGTGTAGTCTGCTCCGTGAGGCGTAGTCCCGAGTGCTCCAACAACGAGCTCCAGATGTGAGCTGTGTATGTGCAACGGAAGAACAAGTCGTCCACTGATTCATTAGCCTGATCACAAAGCAGACAATTCGGTGACACTTGCAATCCCCATCCTTGCATTCTATCTCTCGTTGGTAGCCTGTTACGAGCAACCAACCAAGAGGTAAAAGAATGCTTGGGGACAGATTTCCAGAACCAAATGACTTGATACCAAAAAACCCTAGATGGAGGAGTGTATAGTAATTGCCAAGCCCTTTGCGTTGTGAATGGCCGAAGACCGACCGAAGAGTAGGAGTCTGACCAGTAAAACATATCCCGTCGAGAAGAATTCAGAGGTAGATTGAGATTCGTGAGGGCCAAATGAAGTGAAACTATCTCATCCGATCTCGCTGGTGGGACCGACCAACCATCGACAGAGCAGGCATCAGCTACAAGTGCATTTCTCAGGATCCCCAATCTGCGTGGACCTTCATCGCCGAGAAATCCAATCAACGGGCCTTGAGATAGCCAAGAGTCCAACCAGAATTTGCATTGTTGTCTGTTCCCAACCTGACATTTCAGAAATCCTCTAGCAACATGTCTGCTTTTCAATCATTTATGCTATGCCCAACTCCCTTTCCTCCTTTGCCGTAGATCCCAAAAAGAGGAAGGTCTTATTTGTGACGAATGACATTCAATTATGACACGATATTTTTAAACCTTATACATTCAGAGGGAAAAAAATGTAGAACTATGCATATCAATCCTTCACACTATGGATAGTATTGAATTTCTATATCATATATAATTGATATTATATATATATAGTAATATTAAAATAAGCCAAAGCATTGATGCCTCTAGTATTTGAATTAATATGAGGTTCCAAGATTTGAAATGAACGAATTAGTGATTGGTACACGAAAGAGGGCATGACCCATCGGTGGTTCCTCGTCGGTCCAACTCCACGTTGGAACCCAAGAGCCAAGAAGGCCTGTCGCTTCACGGATTCGATCATATTCTTGTTTTTTAAATCACTATCTTGGTCGATTATATTGCCTTTTTTCGTTATAAGTCCCATGATTAAATTGCATTTAACCCAATCAAAATTCATCTAAACCGATTAGATTACGAAACGTGGCATGTACGACTTTGTTCAACCATAAAATAATAATAGAAAATCATTATTCCGATGATATTTTTACAGGCATCTTATGGATATTCCAATAAATTTTCTGATTTTTTTTAAATAACCGATGTTTTGAAGGTCTATTCTTTAAATATAAATTTCACATTTTTGGCACATCGGACGTGGAGTTCTCGAGGTCGAGGCATTTGTGCTCCCCATGAAAAATGAACACCAAACCAAATTCTCCTAATCTTTTTTAAATTATTTCGAGAACGGTACCTGGACCGTATCCATTCATGTGCATGTGTCACACCTATTGCATTTCAATAAATTAGGATATTGTACCATAAACACCTATTTTCATTTTTGTTAACATAAGAAACGACCAAAAAAATTATAGAGCAGTCCGCTATAATTTCTATTGATGAAAGAAAGAATTCAGACAAACAGAATTTGTATCTTAAAAAATAAATCTTAATAAAAAAAGATATTATTTTATGGTCTAAAACTCAATGTATGTTTTTTTAGCCAACAGGACCAACTCTAATCATCTAGAAATGATATGCTTCACATCTACAACAACGATCAGCCCTTGCATCGTCAATTATTACCCAAAAAAAACTTTAAAGATATAACTTGTGGCCCAAGTTAGGGTTTACACAGAGAAAAAAAAACAAAGAAGAAGGATGACACGTAGGCATGGAGTAGTCTTAGGCACGTATGCACGTATCTAATATATGCTCCTCGACTCCGATACCACCTGACGATGGCATTATTCTATTTCTCATCGCATAATATATGCTTTCAGAGGATAATAAATGATTATCATTTCCTCTTCTCTAGGGTTTTATATCATTAGGCTGTTTCCCAGTTGATTCCCGCACGTCAAATACACTCTTGACGATTTCAATCAATTATTTAACTAAACCTTTTTCAAAACATTAGAAAATTGTTTACAAGTCGCATTTCTTCTTCAACAAAGTTATATAACGAGACCCTCATAGGCGATATGTTAACGAACAGCGCGTCCCCTCCGAACACCATTGGTCTGAACTTGTACCGAGCAAAAGGGCGAGACCTCGAGAGTTGAAATGGCGGGTTTTCGAGCTCTTCTGTTCGCTCTGGCCATGGCTTTCGTGTGTATGGATCGTGCTTTTGTCGGTGCCAACTTCAGCAAGAACATGATCATCACTTGGGGTAAACAACATGTTAACATGTCTGGAGATAACCTCAGTCTTGTCCTTGACAAATCTGCAGGTACGTACCTTATAAAACCCTAAATCATTCATTCATTTGTTACATATTGTCTTATGAATCATAAAAAGATACAAAAAGGCGGTAGTGAAATTAAAACAACAACATAAAACTACGATTGAATTTTCCAGGATCTGCAGTTCGGTCCAAGGCGGCTTACTTGTTCGGAAGCATTGAGATGCTCATCAAGTTGGTGCCTGGTAACTCTGCAGGAACAGTCACGGCCTATTATGTAAGTTCTTACGCATCGATAATTTCGTATATCCTTTCTTTCCCGACGAAAATGACCGACCTTTCTTCGAAATGTCGCTGTATAGCTATCTTCTTCGGGAAATACACATGACGAGATAGACTTCGAGTTCCTCGGGAATACCTCGGGACAACCGTACACGATCCACACTAACATATACACACAAGGAAAAGGCAACCGAGAGAAGCAGTTCCGACCATGGTTCAACCCAACTGATGGTTTCCACAACTACACAATCCACTGGAACCCATCTGAAGTCGTGTAAGTTTTCGATCCAGACAATATAGAAATTGCTTAATAATCACCATATCTGAAACCAAGTCAGAATCTTTGTTCGGAGAACTGATCAAAACAAGAATCGTGTCGGGTCGGGATTTCGGAAACAAACAGGTGGTATGTGGATGGAACGCCAATTCGGGTGTTCAGGAACTACGAAAAGGAAGGAGTCCCTTACCCTAACGAGCAAGGGATGAAGGTTTTTGTGAGTCTGTGGAATGCAGATGACTGGGCCACGCAAGGAGGGCGTGTCAAGACAGACTGGACACAAGCTCCGTTCGTGGCGGAATGCCTTAGGTTCAGACCAAAAGCTTGCAAGTGGAAGGGACCGGTCAGCATCTCCGAGTGTGCAGCTCTTACACGGGCTAACTGGTGGACGTCCCCTTCGTTTAGCCAATTGAGCAGCGATCAATTGGCTAGGATGCAACAGATTCAGACCGATTTCATGATCTATGATTACTGCAAAGATACCAATAGATTCCAAGGGGTTATGCCTCCGGAATGTTCCATGCCGCAGTTCTAAAATGTGTCTGAAATGTTCTGATCTTTTTCTTCGTGAATTCATCACCGTTCAGTTTCTGTAACTCGCCAGATGTTCCAAGCCAAAATTCCAGAATGATTCTAGGGTTTGGATTCATCAATCCACCCCATGTAATCCCATTCGGGTTTTTGGTGCTTTCGTAATAAACGGCGTTTGTCAATCCGGTTTTCATGAACTTAGAAGAAGATAATCGAAACTTTTACACTAAGATTCTCGCGCGTTTCAGCAAATTTACCCAGAATTTCAACTGATCTTCGTGTAAACCCCAGATTCCCAGCAGGAAAACACCTGTACTATCAAACCCAGATTTTCCCAGCAGCCAAACAGAGTCCTACACGCAGAAGGAGATCCAAGCCAAACAACTTACTGGCGGCGGTTAAACGGCAAGAGACGGTCTCTTCTGACGGCGATGACCGGATATAAAAATAATAAATTAAATTACAAACTAATATTAAAATAATCTGAAATGTGGAATAGGTCTGACAGAAGATCTACAGAGTTGGTGGAACTACTGGCTGTCGAGACATCATCGTGCCAGCTAGGATCGCATTGTGGTCCCCACAACCTATAACACTGGCAAATAACTTCTCTCCACGTCATCCAATAATCTTGACGAATTTGCCCTTCTATATCTAGAAAATTACTGTCTTCTCCTCTATGTCTCATCTGTTCGTATCGTAATCGTCAATTTCGCAGAAGCAAATGGTCAGATAAAAACCCTAGATTCCCCTATCTCTATGCGCTTGATCCTGAGTCGGTTGTGATCGGAGGGCTAATGGAACGCGTCATCGGCGGCAAATACAAACTCGGACGAAAGATCGGCGGTGGATCCTTCGGTGAAATCTTTCTCGGTGTGTTACCGTAGGTTCTTCATCGTCTGCTTTTGATTTTTGCCCTTGGATACGTATTCACGTGTTCTTTCTCGTGTTTCGCAGCTACCCACATTGATACATTTGAGATCGTCGCTGTTAAGATCGTAAGTTTCGATTCATTGCTGGGTTTGCTTTGGATCCGCGATTGAATGTTGATTTTGGCTGTTTTGTTCTTGGAATTGTTCTTTGAATTGAGTATTCAGCTGCAATTTTTTCTTTCAGCTGAAATTTGCCCTGAATCCATTCCTCTTGCTTGAGTTTGCAGGAGAACAGTAAAACAAAGCATCCTCAACTTCTATACGAAGCCAAGTTATACAAAATTCTTGAAGGAGGAAGTATGTTTCTTGATTGTATATGTTTTTCATTTTGTAATGGGTGGTAATGTGAACGATTAAGGAATCGCTATCATCAAAACATAGTTCCAATTTCAGATTTTTATATTAAAGAATCGCAGTTAATTTATCTGGGTGCGAGTGTGAAATAGCTTCTGCGGCATTGGATTCTTACATTTCAATTTCTTATGTAATGCTTTCTGTCGAAATGGATGAGCTAATTATTTTGCCCCTCTTGTTCTGCAGGTGGAATTCCGCGGATAAAATGGTTTGGGGTGGATGGGTCAGAAAATGCTCTGGTGATGGATTTGCTAGGGCCAAGTCTCGAAGATCTATTTGTGTATTGTGGGAGGAAGTTCTCACTGAAGACAGTCTTGATGTTGGCTGATCAAATGGTATTACACAATTGTAACTTTCCTCTATCCCATCTAATTCTTCTTCTTGGAGGGTCACTTAACTCTTCCTATTTTCGCAAAACTTCTCTCCCCTTCTTCTCCATTTCCATGGTGTTATATTGTTGATCCTTCTTTAATTGTATCATCTAATGCTCTTGCTGTTTCTTAACTTTGTTTTAAAGCTAACTAGAATAGAATACGTGCACTCCAAAGGATACCTGCACAGAGACATAAAACCCGATAACTTTCTCATGGGCCTCGGTCGCAAAGCCAATCAGGTATCAAGTTTTGCAATTTCTTTCTCCATTAGGGATGCCCTTTTCTACGGCAGATTCAGATTCCTCATTAACTTGTGATAATCAGGTTTATCTGATCGACTTTGGACTTGCCAAAAGATATCGAGATGCCAACACTAACCGTCATATCCCTTACAGGTAGTGAATATTTTCATTATATTGGTTGTACCTTGTGTTTTCGTGCAGGGCACGACTTGCTGATACCTCTATGTTATTTATGATTGAAAGTAGGATTACACAACTAAGTAGTTATCTGTGGTTACATGCAGGGAAAACAAGAATTTAACTGGAACTGCAAGGTATGCTAGTTGCAATACTCATCTTGGAATTGGTAAGTAATGCTACTGTTTTTTTTTTTTGCAATGTAATGTGGGGTTTTTTTTCTGCTTATATATATTTTTGCCTCTTTTTCATAGAACAAAGTCGAAGAGACGATCTAGAGTCACTTGGATATGTGCTTCTGTATTTCTTAAGAGGAAGGTATGTCGCTTATTTTTGTACTGCTTTATGGAATTTGTGTGTTCTTTGTTTCTTGAACCTCTTTTTCTGCAGTCTTCCATGGCAGGGTCTTAAAGCTGTTGACAAAAAGCAGAAATATGACAAAATTTGTGAGAAGAAGATATCAACTCCTATCGAAGTCTGTCCTCCTCTTCCATCATAAAAAACAATGTCTTTTCTCCTCGTACCAATTGAATGAATATCCCATTATCCTCTACTTTTGCAGGTTCTGTGCAAAAACCACCCCGTGGAGTTCGCATCATACTTCCATTACTGCCACACATTGACATTTGATCAGCGTCCTGACTATGGATTCTTGAAGCGTCTTTTCCGTGATTTGTTTTCACGTGAAGGTACTTAGAAAAAGGCACCTTTACATTATCTGTCAACTGAGACCTACCTCACTCGATGAACTGTTTTATTCCGTTGACGCAGGATATGAGTCCGACTATGTGTTTGACTGGACCATTATAAAGTATCAGCAGGCACAGAAAAGTAGAAATCATTCTCGGGTATGAAAAAAATCTGATGCCTTCTCTGTTTTCCCGTTCTTAATCCTTATATGCATATTTGTGACTGATAGTTTCTTCTAAAGTGGAGGTTCTATCATGATGATAGTGTCTTTTGCCTTTACTGGGTGTGTTAGACTGTTAGTTTCTGGTGCTAAATGCAAGTATGCTATTATGAGGTTGTGTTTTTAACAGACTACTGTAAATTAATCTTGTTCTGCAGGCTGTTCCCGGGACTAGCAATGCCCGTGCAGTACCAATGGAAGCCAACCATCATCAAGGTCAGCTTGCTAATGAAGTTGCCAAAGAATGTACTTCTTGATTGTGTAACTTTCCTGTTAATTGAGAAACTGGCCCCTCCGAGAGATGATGTGTTTTTCTCCTGTTCTTCTTTCCCTGTTGTTTTTATTGAATGGGAAGAGAGGAGTCAGAAAATTGTTGAAATGCCTATTTCCTATAACGCAAGTTTTCTGAAATGATTTGTTCATGTCTGCTGCTGGGCATATTCGGTTGCAAACTTGACAAGACAAGGCCCTAACTTAGTTTTGGTGTGCTATGAATCGTCCAGCTAATATAGCTTCTCGTTGCAATATAATGTCTTAAAATGGTTGTCATGCTGAGCCTAGATTTCATCTGGCAGGAGGAACCAATGCTTCTTATGGACCTGAGGTGTCTGAGCGTGTCAGATCAGCCAATGCTATTGGTTCAGCCCCACAGTTGAATTTTAGTGCTACTACGACAGGCAGGACTCTGGGCTATGATCATCCCATGGAGAAGCATGTAAGTATTCTTACTCTCTTCCATTGTGCAATCTTCACTTGTGTTGGCTTGTCATTCTGTGGTTATATTGCTCTAAAATTTCTTCCCTGTTCTCCTGTAAAAACGTGTTTCCAATTAGCAATGTCACCAATGCCGAGAAGGAATTATTTGTGAGCTATTTAACATGATGATGATTCCTACAATTAATATCATTGATCATCCGTTTGGCTGAGACCCTTATACAGATGTCAATGCAGATGAACATGCCATCCACTTCGTTTTTAGCTGCTGGCACCTCGAAAAGAAATGTGACGAGGCCTGGTTTTCCTGCTG